GCATTGTCCTCTCCACACCGTACACCCATCTTTAGTCCGAACCCAAACAGGATATCTTTGTTTGTGTGATGGAAGTCTTGCTGGCCTTTTCTGTCTACCTGTTGAACTTAAAGCATTTCTGTCTTTGTTTTGCAGGTGTCAGCTGGTGAAGTGTTTGTGTGAGTGTGTGTGTGCGTGCGCGCGTGAGTGTGTGAGTGTGCGTGCGTGGAGGCACGTGTGTCTTCTCAGCCCAGCCAGTGTTTTTGGAGTGGAGTGCGGCCTGAGCACATTTCACAGGGACAATGAGCGAGCTGGAACAGTTACGCCAGGAAGCTGAGCAACTACGCAATCAGATCCGGGTACGACGACAAAAGCTTCCTAAACGTGTTTCTAACTTGTCGACCTCCGGCAAAAAACTGGATTCRAAGAAACCAATTAAATATTCTACCTCCTTTTTGTCATCTTGTCTCATTTGAAATGATCTCTTGTTGCAGGATGCCAGGAAAGCCTGCAGCGACTCAACTCTTTCACAGGTAAGAAAATTCCTTTACACATGTAACATTTGATCATTTAAAATCTTAAACAACTTGTCACAAAATTAACTAAGTGCTATAATCTATGTATGTGTCCATTCACTTTGTTCTACTGTAAAGCTGCATACACAGCGAACGCGTTTGGAGCAGCCAAAATGCTCCTGCCGCATGTGTTTGGCTGCTTGTCAACAGCTGTCCGTTCACACCGAACGCGTCTATAAAGACGCGCAGTGGGAGGAGCGTCTTTGTTCTTTTTCCGGTCGGTTGATGTTTAAATTGAAGATAAAATAAATAAAATAGCTTTGCTTTTAAAGAGCAAGAGAACGTTGCGCACAGAGCAGATAATTAATTTACCAGATAATTTAGAGGCGCTCTCATAGACTTTTTTTTAAAAAAATTCCCAAACCGGGACCAGACTAGAGGTTGTAGAGGGAGGAGGGTCTTGTTTTTTTTTCCTGTCTGTCTTTAATGACGGGTGAAATAAAGATGAAATAAATACAATGGCTTTTTTTATTTACTGAAGTTTCGCCACTCCAGGAACTGCGAGCTTATCCTTTTATTTTTGCCCCAAGCTCAGCGAGCTGCTGCTGTCTCATCACATCGGTGCTGATCTCTCCAGCTAGAACACCAACTGCAGACTGTCGATTTCAGCTAAAAAGGCTCCTGTCAGTCTGTGTCGGGTTCATGAAACCGTCACGTGAAAAAAAAATCTCTCCCAATTGGTTGCTGCTGCGTGGCGAGCAGCCAAATTTCAATTTGTTGAACTTTAGCAGCCGCTGCTTTGCAGCTGCCGCATGTGCAGAAAAATGCTCTGCCGCATGTTGCGCGCTGCTCTCAACTGGCAAAACACGCCGCTACGTGCTGCGCTGCTCCAAGATCCACGTCCACCATAGACTTTGCATGTAAACTGGCTGCTTTGGCTGCTCCAAACGTGTTTGGTGTGTACCTGGCTTTAGTCAGAAGCAGGGTTCGACAAGATTTTTTTTTTTTTTTACCTGCCCTGTCGGGCAGGTGACGACAAATGTTACCTGCCCGAAACAAAAATGTTCAAATTTTGATAAAATAAGAAAAATGTGTACTGTACTTTGTACCACAAAAATATTAACATGTTTATACAGAGGTATATAAAATATGACTTCTGATTAAACAGATGCAAACATTTTAGACTGAGTTACTAACAGTGTTTTATGAAGAACATCTTCAAAAAAGTGTTTCCCTAGAGTATTGACCTTGGGGGTGGGGTTCATGAAAACAGAATGATCAACAGCAGCAGCTTTGTTTTAAATACAAYTTACAGAAAATGAGAGTCTGAAATTTGCATTAATTAAATCGTAAATAGTGAATCTCATATCCAAAGATACATTTAAAATATGTTGAACTGGAGTTTCCATACAACATGATGATAAATCTAATGTTATTTATACAACTCAGAATATAATTAGAGATGTCTTAAATAGGTATTTTGAATTGTCAAAATATATTAAGAGATGTCTATTTGTTTCTTTCATTCATAAAAACAAAACCATCTATGTTCAGCATTAAAAAACCCAAAGTAAATCATACCCTGAAGTAAAAGGGTGCAGAGTGAAGTAAAAAAACTTTTTATCATATTTGCCCCTTATTTTTAAAAAATCAACTTCAACAAACAAACAATCTCAAGCTGGAAAGTTCTCCAAATTAAAAAAAGGTAAATAAAACAAAATAATAAAATAAAACATTTTATTATTTTATCCTAAATAACTAATATGTCTAATTTAGTCATAAAACAATTTCNATTTTATCCTAAATAACTAATATGTCTAATTTAGTCATAAAACAATTTCAGATAACTAGAATATAAGTGTGGTGAAGCCAAATAAATGGTAGATCGGCCTGCCATACAATGAGCTTCTGACCCGCTGCTGCTATCTCATCTTCATCATCATCTTCATCAGAGCAGAAGCCGACATTAGCAAGATGGATTTATGACTGAATGAACGTCCACATATTTTTTTTATCTCTGTGGGTAACAATATATAAAATAAAAAAAAACATTTTCCCCCCCGAAAACACGGGTGTGAAAAAAGCTACGGTTTTTAAACCTTCTCTCTGCGTGACGTGCAGCAGGAAGGAGGGAGGAACCTGTGATCCTGCGACACGACGGCAAGCTGTAACTTTTCTACAGCAGGAGGGGGACATTTTGACTATTTATTCTCTCTTTACGTTTAAAACACCATATTTTTTCATTTATTTTCAGAACATTTTGAATAAATGGCCCTGTAAAAAAATAAAAGAAATTGTTTACCTGCCCTGTCGGGCAGGCATTGGGACACATCCACCTGCCSGACAATGGGTTTTACCTGCCCCGGGCAGTCGGGCAATAGGATTTGTCAAACCCTGGTCAGAAGATTGTTTCAGATGATTAAAATACTTTGCATTCTTTGTCAGTACTTAAAAATGTGTAATCCCCCGAGCCGTATAATTATTCCAAACATAGTTCGAATCAATAAATTACTCGACTTTCTTTCAGCTTTGCTCCTTGTTCACATTATCAGCCTGTTTTTTGCTGCTTCAGCTCGTGTCCAGTTGTGATAAGTGTTTCTGGGCCTCATGTGTAGCTTCCTGTGTTTTGACAGATCACAGCTGGTCTGGACTCAGTGGGCCGGATACAGATGCGGACGCGGCGTACACTCAGGGGCCACCTGGCCAAAATATATGCAATGCACTGGGGGAGTGACTCCAGGTACGGTTTTATTACACAATATGTATAATCATAATGAGTAGCAGACGTTTACTGACCTATATGAGCAGTTTACTTAAAGTAAGCTCTTACCCTTCCTGTGTGTTCGCTGACGCTTTTTTATTAAACACCTTACAGATAATTTAAAAGGTTCATTGTAAACTTTTCTCAATATGTAAAAATGTATTTGAGCTAGTGGGAGTTGATGCTTTGCTATTGGTTTGTTCACTGACTAGATTAAAAAAATCTGTATTTTTGAGCATCTGATCTGCTGTCCTAAGACACTTRGTTATATCTGGAATAGGTTTTGATACCTTGTAGTTTTTGGTTTTATTTTCCTGTTGTTTTAACTTGTATGTGCAACAGATGCCACCCTAATCTCACAGAGGCTAAACAACATTATATGTCTTCCTTTTGGATATAAAAAGTTAAGATATATTCATTTTTATAATCCTTAAAATAAAAATAAATTGCTGTAAGCACATTGGACCTCATGCAAGAACATGTTCGTATTCTTATCCTAAATTTCTCTTACTTTTGTTCGTACAAAGGGTTCGTACGAACGTCAGATTCAACAAACTCTTCTATCTTCAGGAAAAGTGTGTAAATGAGCTGCGTAAATTCCACCTGTTCGTATATAAGGCTGTTTCCTGCCTCAGATATCAGGAAGTGTCCATTCATGAAAATGAAAGCGAAAACTAAAAAAAGAAAAACTTTACGAGTTCAGAGATTGAAGTCCGTCTGTCAGAGATCCAGAAAAGAAAATCTGTCATTTTTAGCAGGTCAGCTGTGGAA